CCAGCATTTATGCTCCTCGAGCAACAACTTCACACTAAGCAGGAAGGCAAACGAACAGAGCGCTTCATCGCCCAGAGCCAAAGGTGCAGTCGAGCGACGTCCCACACAAGTGAAATCCGCTGCTTACCTCACACCTTCGACGACGCGCTCCAGCCTGGAACCGACGCGAGGCGGCCACCGGGGAACACCGCGGCCGTGAGACGCCCACCGTACACGCACCGGCTGTCGAGCCCGATGGCGTAGCGGTGCTGCTGCACGCCACGTCTCGCGTCGTGACCGAAGACAACCGTCTCAGGGCCGCTCCACAGTGAGGCCCACGCGGCGCCGCTGTCGGTCTCCTCCACCGCCACTAGCGAGCCGTCACGCTGTTGCACGAGATTGCGCATCGTTGTGACGTCAGCCACGTGTTGCTGCTCCAGTGGCAGGTGCGGGTGGAGACCGGCGTGCACGACAATAATATTGTGGGCGGGAATGCGCAGGATGTGCGGCTGCTGCGAGAGGTACAGCTCGACATCGCCCGCTATCGTCTCAGCGAGTGGTGCGAGACTCGATCTTCTATTCTTTNCTTGCAGAACGCCCTCTTTGCGCAGCTTACGCGCCAGCTTCAGCAGCTTCACGTCGTGGTTGCCGAGCACACAACGCGTGCCGAGGCGCTGCAGCAAACGCACCACGCCAAAAGAGTCCGGCCCCTTGTTGACAAGGTCCCCAACGCTCACCAACTGGTCCCTGCCCTCGTTGAATGCCACCTCACGCAGCAGCTCCTGCAGCTGGTCAAGGCAGCCGTGAATGTCGCCCACAATCACCAGACGCTCACTTGTGGTATCGAGTGTTTCCACGCGTGCGAGTTTCTCCTTCATTTGGTAAAAATAAATCCGATTTTCACTCTAGCACGACGCCTGCCACAGCAGGTGACACTAAAGACTAAGTCTGTCTCTGCGAACCTACAGTAAAGGACAAGATCAGAACCGTTTTTATAAAATAAAACTGGCGCACAACGCATAGCGCACCAAATACCAATATTTAACCGAAGCTCAACGTCTGTTCCCACGCACAAATAGTTTAACACCACGCATAGCAATAGTGTACCGTATATATACATACATCTAAAGCGACCAGGAAACACACGGCTGTGTTTTTTTGTTTTCTCTCTCTAGAAGCAGTGGTACCATACCACCACCTCCGACTGCGCGGGGTTGATGCAGACGTAGCAGTAATTCAGGTTGCTCGGCTCCGCGTCGTCGCTGCGGTCGAACAGCCGAACGCCGTGGACATTCCGCACCGACACCACTGTGGATACCACTTCCGGAACCAGCGTGCCCCTCTTCAATGCATCGTCGTCCTCGACACCGCGGTCTGGCTCGTCCACGACTGCGGCTGTTGTTCCTGCTGCCGCAGTCGTCTGTGATGATGTCGCGCTCACCTGGGCGAGGCGAATCGCGACAAGAGATTTGTAAAAGATGCGTGCAGCCTCGAGGTACACCGTCAGCTCATCGTCCCACTGATTGGTGCTGCCGCCGCCCGCCACAAGGCGCCACAGAATGTGGTACAGGAACTCCGAACGCTCCTCCTTGCTAAAGACGCTGCGTAACGCCGCGGTGGAGAGTTGCCCACGAGCACCAAAGCCGAAGGCATCGTCGTTATCATCATCATCATCGTCGCTGTTGTCACCACCGCATGCGCCTCCGTTGTGTGCCAGCAGAAAGAGAGCGCGGAGCTCATCCGTGACAGCGATGTCATGCGGGAGGTACACGTCCGCGCGCCTCACCACCGGCATCCGTACGCCGTCGAACGGCGCCACCTCATCGTCGTCGTCCTTGATTTTGTTCTTGTCGTTGCTGTCGCCGTCAGCAGACGGCTCAACGTGCCGCACGACGCCTGCCGCGGCGAGGCGAGCGAATGGCTGCAGCGTTGTCCAGCAGCAGCGCAGCTCGCAGTAGTCGACGCCGCCGCCCCCAGCGCTGGCCTCCGCCTCGGCACGAAGCGCGAGTCCCTCCCGCACTGCCGGCGCCTCGAAGAGGGCCTGCAGGAACTCCGGCAGCAGGCCCCTGTGAAAGCCGGAGAAGCGGAGGTGAACTGAGCTGACGGCGTTGTTGTTCATGTTACTGCTGCCGCTGTCACGCTGGAAGCGGAAGGCGCAGAGGCGTGTCGTGGCGTGGAGGCCCCACCTGTGCTGCGCCGCCTTGAAGACGGGGTCACCCAGCAGCGCGTCGAAGCGCCGCTGCGGAAGCGGCTCGAAGAAGAAGTGCTCCTGCTGCTGCACCATCGGCCCTGCACGCCGCCCTGTTCACTTCGCCAGCATCAGTCGAAGGCGTGTTAAAGAGAAGAAGAGGGCGAGAGAAGGAGGAGAGCGAAAGGCACAGTGGGCCCACAGCAGCGCAGCCGCATATCTCTCGACGCGCACGCAGAGGCAAGCAGTCGCGAGGCGGTGCAGCGGTGCCCGTCACAGAAGCCCGCAGAGAGTGTCTCCCGCCCCCTCCCACACACACACACACACACACAGACACACAGACACATCACGCGGTTGGGGTTCGCACAGAAAATGAGCACACCACTCTTCCCTTACTTTCTCTCCTCTCTTCTCTTTCTCATTTTCTACCTCTCTTTCTCTCTCTCCTTTATTCCATCTCATCGCCTCGCTGCGCACACACACACACAGACGGTGCAGCAGCAGAATCGCGCGGGCGGGCGGGCCCCCCTACACAAACGACTTGCGCTCCAGGAACCTCTTCAGGAAGTACAGCTGGAAGAGACTCATGCCGACGAGTGCGACGACCTGGAACACGCCCCACTGCAGCAGCCGCTCGTTCGCCTCCTCGATAGTGGCACGGTGCTCCTTCTGAAGCATGCGTAGCTGCATCTGCAGCGCCTGCGCGCTGCGCATGGTGTGGGCGATCCCGTCGACCTTCCGCTCGATGGGGTCGAGCTCCGACTGCTTCGCCACCGACGCGTAGTCGACGTGGTAGCGGAAGTGGAACGTGACCCACTTGGAGACGTAGTGCGCGTTGCTGTTGTCGAGGCAGGCGGTGACCACCTTGACGCCGTCGCGCGCCAGCACGTCGTGGATGCCCTCCGCCGCGTCCTCCCACACCTTGATGACGCGCCCGTCCTGGTCGACGAGTGACGCGCTGATCTCGCGCTGCCCGCCGGCGATGACTTGGAACTGGAACGTCACGCTGCTCTGCAGCGGCACCACCTCCTGCACGCACAGCTTCTCGCCGGGGTCAATCCGCGTTGCAGCGGCGTCCGCTACAAGAGGCACAGCCGCCACCGCCAGCAGTAGCAGTAGCACAGCCGGTGACCATGACGCGTGTGCTGCCCGGTCCGCCATCCCGTGTGTCGTCGTGTTGCCCGCTTGCGTCGCCTTTCTTCCCTCGCGGTATATATATATATATATATTTATGTGTTTAGCGCTACGCCACAGTGCGGCGTGAGGCGGGCAAAGAGAGATGCATAGGCAGACAGGCAGGCAGGGAGAGGCAGGCGGACAGCACGCACCACCACCCCCCGTGGGCGGCC